GGTCAGGTGGCACCATGTGGAGCACGTGGTACCATGTGGGGTGCATCATCGGTACCGTGTGGGTACATCACATCATTTGGAGTTGATGGCCACAACAAACATGCAGCTACAAGACAAATAAGCACAGATGATCCCTCACCCTCCCTTCCCCCCCCATGCAGGTCAGGTGGCACCATGGGGAGCACGTGGTACCATGTGGGGTGCATCATCGGTACCGTGTGGGTACATCACACCATTTGGAGTTGATGGCCGCAACACACATGCAGCTACAAGAAAAATAAGCACAGATGAGCCCTTACCCTCCCTTCCCCCCCCCCGCCACACACACACACACACACTTAGGCAGAAATTGGTGCTTCGCATGGCTAGGGGGTACGATGGCCTGGGCGGGGTGATGCTGTGTGGGCAAGATGGCACCGTGTCGACACAGTGGAAGCACACGGGGCGGGTCATACTACGTGAAGTGATGGTGCCAACACACATGTGGCCACAAAAGGAGGACAAACACACGGGGCAGTACTCTGGGAGACTTGCGGTGTTATGTGGCCTCGGCAGAGATGAGCAACGGGTACCCAGACCCGCACCCACCCCACCAACGAGGCATTGGGTCCGGTGTGGGTCTTGATAAGCTGGCATGGGTGGGTCTAGGCGAGCCAGCCTGCATGGGTGACGGGCAGGTCAATGTTAGGCCTGCGTCACTCGAATGGGTGGGTGACAGGCGGGTGAGCGCTAGGCCTGGGTCACCCGACCCACACACCCAGGACAACCCATAAGAACTGCCCCTAACACATACTTTCCAGCTGCAGTCCACCTATGGAGTTAAATGGAAAGTCTCCCCGAGATAAGAAGAGCTGAGCCAGTGGCAAATCAAAATTTGGGATCCTCCTTGAAAAAATGCGTCGCGCTCTACCGGTGGCAGCTGGACCACGGACCAACAACGGGGTGTTCGCTCCCATTAAAACCACGGGGATCGAATCTCACCACACCAGGTGGCAAGGTTCACTCCCCAATTTCAAACTTGTGGAGCTCTTCCAATTTTTGCGCCGTAATCCATGGATGGCACAAGGTGGAGATGCTTCCAATTTCCGCGCCAAGGGATGTCATCTCGCTATGCTGTGTGTAAATGTTCAACCGGATTGAGACAATGGGGAAAGGGCGGGTGTGGGTGGAAAATAATAAGGTACCGGGTGCGGGCAGGTAATCTTGTTCTCGCAGGTGTGGGTGGGTCAGATGGGTCAGGATGAAGGTTTTTTACGGGTGATGGGCGGGTCGAGTGTAGGAGGGAATTTCAAAAAAAACACGGGTGGTTTGGGTCACCTTGAATTTTTTTATTTTTTTTTTAAGGCCGGGCTGCAGGGTTGTCATGCCGACGGTCGACGGCCCTGGACCTGTTGGCTGCCGACCAGCCGACGGTCGGCGCCGTCGGCACCGACCGGTAGGC